GGGCTCCTTGATAAGATCCAAAGAAGAATCAGCAATATTATTGGTCCTGATCTGGTGGCTCGGCTTCACTCACTAATCCGCCACCATAATCTCTGTGCTTTTTTTTATAAGTACATCCATGGTAATTGTTCGGATGAACTCTTCGCTATGGTACCTAAAGCTTTTGAATTTTAGCGCAGTGCTAGACTGGCGTCGAGATCTCATCAATTTACAGTTGAGCTGGCTAGATGTAACCGTAGCTTCTATGCAGTTTCTTATCTCGAACTTCTTGCTTGTGAAACTCGCTTCCGCCTCCATGCTTTCCAGCCAACTTTAATCTGCAAAAATTTAAATGCAATGTCAATCACTATCTATCAATTTCTTCAGTATCGGTTAGGAGACAAACATATATATATATATATATATATATATATATATCCTGATTGCTCTTTTCTCTTTCCCCTCATTACTAATGCTTCTGTTCCTAATCCCTCACACACCCTGTAATCCCTTTCGTGCTAATGGGTGTATCGCGTTGCTTGAGGTGATACATACTCACGCACGCACGCACACACACACACACACACACACACACACACACACACACACACATATATATATATATATATATATATATATATATATACACAGACAAACATATATATATATATATATATATCCAGAAGTGTTGAAACAAAATGGCTATTCTTGTAGTGAATTTGTAACATATTTTTTTTATTTAATTTATATATATATATATATATATATATATATATATATATATGAATGTGTGTGTGCGTGTGTAAGCTTGATGCAATCGAACGTCTAGACACACTGAGGAGCTGTGATACAGTTGAGCTCACAAGGGAAACGTGGTTTTAAAAAACAGTGGCTCCTACTGCTATTAAGCATTACTCATTAAGTATGAACTGAGTTCTCCAAGCCGCTGGCGTATTTCGTATAGAGAAAAACGTTAAAATTCCCTTCCTTTCTATGCGACGATGGCTTATCAGTTGGGTTTCGATCCCGGCTTGAAGCAGTCGGACGTCTAGCCACACTGATAAGCTGTGATACAGCGAAACAGTATATATATATATATATATATATATATATATATATATATATATATATATATATATATATAATATCAATTGATAATTGGTAGGGATAATTTCCAATGAGGGCATTAATACAAAGAGAGCTCAATGTAAGAACAGAGCAATATAATATAGTATAGACGATGCTTAAAAATCCATTCGGTTATAATTTATTTCATGAATATATAAATATTCATTTCTTTTTAATTAAAATCTTCGATCTGAAGAGATGAATATTTTTATATTCATGAAATAAATTAAAACCCAATGGATATTTAAGATCGTCTGTACTATTATTACTCTTATATATATATATATATATATATATATATATATATATATATATATATATATATATATATATGCTCGCCAAAAGTTCAGAGATATATGATCAGCTCTCACAAACTGAGTACGGCCACCTATCGTTACTTGTTAGAAGTGCATTTGTGAGCAAGTGTGCCCAGGGCCATGCAAAGAGTTTGAAAATTAAGTATTAGAATAAGTAATTAATCCCGCGGTCAAATCCCCTGAATCTTTGCGTGTGTGCGCGCTGTGTGTGTGAAGCGAGAGGTGGGGATAAAGTCAGGGTCTAGGAAAAGTGTTTGTTCAAGAAGCATGGGATGAAAGACATTACAATAAAGGAATCATTGGAAAAGAATTCTCCTGAGACAAAGAGCGTAAAGAGACGAATCATAAAGATTGGAATATTGGTATGTGGTGGGGGCTAAGATTGAATGAGAAGTGAAAGCAGAAAAAGGGGACTGAAGGGAAAGAAGAAAGAAAAAGAAAGAAGGAAAAAGAAAGAAGGGAAAGGGGAAAGACGGACGGAAAAAGGAATAAAAGTAAATAGATGATAAAAAACGAAACGAAACAAGAGAGAAAAAAGGCAAAAAGGAAGATGAGAAGAAGAAAGAAAGGACTAGAATGAAACAAACATGGAGGAATTAAGTAGATAAGGAAGAAAGAAAAGAAGAAAGAAAAAACAAGGAAAGAAAAAAGAAGTAAGCCTAGCAAAAAGGAAAGAAAGAAGCAAAAAGACATGATAGAATAAAAGAAAGAAAGAAAGAAAGAAAGAGAGAGAAAATTGGTAATAAAAAATGGAGGAGAAAGCCAAAATCAATAAAAAAGAAAGAAAGAACGAAAGAAAGAAAGAAGACTGATAAGAAAACAAAAAAAGGAAAAAGCCAGAAACTATAAAAAAGCAAGGAAGGAATAAAGAAAGAACATTAGTAAGAAAAAAGAAAGAAAAAGCCAAAACCAATGAAAGAAAGAAAGATAGAAAGAAAGAAGATTGTTAAGAAAAAAAGCAATAAAAGAAAGAAAAAAAAAGAAAAAAGAAAGGACGAAAGAAAGAAGACTGATAAGAAAACGGAAGGAAAAAGCCAGGAGCAATAAAGAAAGAAAGAAAGAAAGAAGGAAAGAAA